GCACGGCAATTTCTGGGGAATATCCCCCCGGAAATGTGGTCATTGCACCACGATGGCGGGTAAAAATATGGTACCATCACTTCTAATCTGACAGAGGTTTTCAATAGCGTTATGAAAAATGCCAGATATTTGCCCATCACCGCTTTGGTCCAGGTTTCCTTTTACCGGGTTAATGCTTATTTTGTTAATAGGCGTGAAACCAGTAAAATGAGAGTGATAGAAGGCCACGAGTACTTCCCACACATCATAGATTTAATTGATAAGAATAGAGAGAAGGCGAAGCATCACACAGTTACTTCATTTGATTTAGGCCGAAGGATATTTCAAGTGGAAACCGGTTGTGGTGGCCGAACGTTGGAGAAGGGTGGGAGAAAACAAACTGTCCATTTGAAACGGAAAACTTGCACTTGTAAAAAGATGGAGATATATAAGATTCCATGCTCCCATGTGTTAGCCGTGTGCAGACAACGTAGCTTGTCTTATGCTCCATTTGTGGATAAGTTTTTCTCATCTGACCAATACGCCGCCACATATCATAGAGTCTTCAAACCCATTCCTGATCGTGATTATTGGCCTACTTACACTGGACCTGAAATCGTGCACGATCCATCCATGCTTCGGACTAAGGGAAGACCTAAGTCCACACGTATTAAGAATGAGATGGATGAAGGTCCCCAAGGGACGGTTAGATGTGGAAAATGCCACCAAATCGGCCACAATAGGGCCACATGTGCGAACAGATCGTCAAGACACGATGGGGGGTCCAATGGATAAGGTTTTAATTATAGTAATTCACAATTCATCTTAGCGTTGCATGAAAACATATTAATTAATAAAATGGATGATTAAAAAAAGAATTAGTATAATGATAAAAATTAACTAATACAATTTTGTTTGTTTGAAGGCATGGAGGTGACAGCGGATCTTGGGCCGAGTGATCTTTCTGTCCTGACATTGCAGGCCTCGCACAGGAGTGAGGATGTTTGGCTTGACCTCGATGTTCAAGTTGATAGGTGCCGTGAGCACCTGCGTGGTTTGTCGCATATGCACGTGGACGACAGAGTACTTTATTATGTTCGTGCTGCGGGTTTTTATGGTCTGCACAGATTGGAGGCTATTGTCCCCCTCGATAGAACGCTACTCACTGCTCTTCTTGAGCGATGGAGGCAGGAGACACACACATATCACCTCCCTGTTAGTGAGGTGACAGTGACCTTGAGAGATGTTGCTATACTGACTGGGTTACAGGTTGATGGGAGAGCTGTTACAGGCACTGCTTGTCGACAGTGGGTAGATGAGTGTGAGCGGTTGTTTGGTGTCCGACCCGTTGTTCGGACTGATCTTCAGGGGTCATCTCTGAGGATGTCATGGTTGAGGGAGCACAGTTCAGCTGGGGTAGTTCCACGCTGGCTTATCTCTACAGACAGTTGTGTCGCAGCTGCCATAGAGGGAGCACAGAGCTTGGAAGATTTTTGCTACTCCTCCAGATTTGGTCATGGGAGTATATCCACATTGGGCGTCCCATTGTAGTCGCATATCATGGCATTGATGGACACCCACTGCCTGATGAGCCTGCACGTCATCTGGGACCACATCATGTACGGGGTGAGGACTCTCTGGGTCGTCAATATGTTTTCAATCGTTGATATTATTTATGTTATTGTATGTTGAAAGTAAATATATTAATAATATCCATATTAATGACACGGTTACATGAATGGTTTGATGGCTATTTGCTTGTCTATGTCGCATGTCATCTGCTACTGGGCTCGGTGTGTACAGGGATGCATTTGATCGGATGTCTGAGGATCAGGTATGGTGTGGGTAATATAACATTAACTATAATTTGTATAGCATAAATACTAATTTTGTATCTTTATGAAACAGATTACATGGATGTCGTATACAGCTGAGATGTTTACAGAGTTGCCCCCAACTGGACGAGAGCATAGTCACATATGGCGAGCACGTGTGCCGTTGATATGTTTTGACATTGTTGAGCTTCATATGCCTGATCGAGTCTTGCGACAGTTTGGGTTTGAGCAGGTCATTCCACGGCTTATAGACACTTATGTAGAGCTTCATAAGCTGGATAGGCGTGGGAAGCATACGGAGGATTGGGCACTGAGACATGTTCGATACGTCACTCTGTGAGACAGGCGACCTGAGCTAGTTGTGACTAGGACACCGACATTTGTCCCAGCTTTTTCTGGAGACTAAATGGGACGGTATTACAATATCACTCGTTTGTTTGTCTCCTTCGTTCAGACTCCCTACTCATCATTATCAGCCTAGCTCCTTGGCTTTGCATCTTACGGTGAGTATATTACTAATTAGTAAAGTAAGTCGTTTTATTTATTTAATACTTGTATGTATTTCAATTTAATTGTAATTGTGTTTCATATTTCAGACACGAGGTTTGCAACGTATACATTAGCGGGCTACTGCCACAGTGAGTGATACACATGATGTGGACATGTATGGACAGGCTCTGACCAGCAAATTACAATTTCAATATAATTGTAATTGTGTTTCATATTTAATACACGAGGCAATGCCTGTCAGAACCTGTCCATACATGTCCACATCATGAGTATCACTCATTGTGGTAGTAGCCCGCTAATGTATACGCTGCAAAACTCGTATCTGAAATATGAAACACAATTACAATTACATTGAAATACATACAAGTATTAAATAAATAAATGACTTACTTTAGTAATTAGTAATATACTCACCGTAAGATGCAAAGCCAAGGAACTAGGCTGATAATGATGAGTAGGGAGTCTGAACGAAGGAGACACAAACAAACGAGTGTTGCTGTAATACCATCCCATGTAGTCTCCTGAAACATATGGGACAAATGTCGGTGTCCCAGTCACAACTAGCTCAGCTCGCCTGTCTTACAGAGTGACGTATCGGACATGTCTCAGTGCCCAATCCTCCGTATGCTTCCACGCCTATCCAGCTTATGAAGCTATACATAAGTGTCGATAGGCCGTGGAATGACCTGCTCAAACCCAAACTGTCGCAAGACTCGATCAGGCAAATGAAGCTCAACAATGTCAAAACATATCAACGGCACACGTGTTCACCATATGTGACTATGCTCTCGTCCAGCTGGGGGCAACTCTGCAAACATCTCAGCTGTATACGGCATCCATGTAATATGTTTCATAAAAATACAAAATTAGTATTTATGCTATACAGATTATAGGTAATGTTATATTACCCACACCATACCTGATCCTCAGACATCCGATCAAATGCATCCCTGTAGACACCGAGCCCAGTAGCGGATGACATGCGACATAGACTAGCAAATAGCCATCAAACCATTCATGTAACCGTTTCATTAATATGGATATTATTAATATATTTACATTCAACATACAATAACATAAATACCAACGATTGAAAACATATCGACGGCCCAGAAGGTGCTCGCCCCGTACATGATGTGGTCCCAAATGACGTGCAGGCTCATCAGGCAGTGGGTGTCCATCAATGCCATGATATGCGACTACAATGGAACGCCCAATGTGGATATACTCCCATGACCAAATTTGGAGGAGTAGCAAAAATCCTCCAAGCTCTGTGCTCCCTCTATGGCAGCCGCGACATAGATGTCTGTAGAGATAAGCCAGTGTGGCACTACCCCAGCTGAACGGTGCTGCTACATTAAACCTCTCTAGCATAGACCAGTGCAACATGTGAATCTCATTTCTGCTCTTGTCAGCGAAAATGGAGGCTCCCATCATCATCATCAAGATATATGCGCGCGCATATTGCTGGATCATAACCTCATCAGCGTCCGGAGGAAGCACCTGGAAGTGCTCCCTCAACCATGACATTCTCAAAGATGACCCCTGAAGGTCAATCCGAACAACGGGGCGGACACCAAACAACCGCTCACACTCATCTACCCACTGTCGACAAGCAGTGCTTGTAACAGCTCTCCCATCAACCTGTAACCCAGTCAGTATAGCAACATCTCCCAAGGTCACTGTCACCTCACTAACAGGGAGGTGAAATGTGTGTGTCTCCTGCCTCCAACGCTCAAGAAGAGCAGTGAGTAGCGCTCTATCGAGGGGGACAGTAGCCTTCAATCTGTACAGACCATAAAAACCCGCAGCACGAACATAATGAAGTACTCTGTCGTCCGCGTGCATATGCGACAAACCCCGCAGGTGCTCGCGGCACCTATCAACCTGAACATCGAGGCCAAGTCAAACATCCTCACTCCTGTGCGAGGCCTGCAATGTCAGGACATAAAGATCACTTGGCCCAGAATCCGTTGTCACCTCCATGTCTACAAACAAACAAAATTGTATTAGTTAATTTTTACTATTATATTAATTCTTTTTTTTAATCATTCATTTTATTAATTAATATGTTTTCATGCAACGCTAAGATGAATTGTGAATTACTATAATTAAAACCTTACCCACTGGACACCCCATCGTGTCTTGACGATCTCTTCGCACATGTGGCCCTATTATGGCCGGTTTGGTGGCATTTTCCACATCTAACCGTTCCTCGGGGACCTTCATCCATCTCATTCTTAATACGTGTGGACTTAGGTCTTCCCTTAACCCGAAGCATGGATGGATCGTGCACGATTTCAGGTCCAGTGTAAGTAGGCCAATAATCACGATCAGGAATGAGTTTGAAGACTCTATGATATGTGGCGACGTATTGGTAAGATGAGAAAAACTTATCCACAAATGGAGCATAAGACAAGCTACGTTGTCTGCACACGGCTAACACATGGGAGCATGAAATCTTATATATCTCCATCTTTTTACAAGTGCAAGTTTCCCGTTTCAAATGGACAGTTTGTTTTCTCCCACCCTTCCCCAACGTTCGGCCACCACAACCGGTTTCCACTTGACATATCCTTCGGCCTAAATCAAATGGAGTAACTGTGTGATGCTTCACCTTCTCTCTATTCTTATCAATTAAATATATGATGTGTGGGAAGTACTCGTGGCCTTCTATCACTCTCATTTTACTGGTTTCACGCCTATTAACAAAATAAGCATTAACCCGGTAAAAGGAAACCTGGACCAAAGCGGTGATGGGCAAATATCTGGCATTTTTCATAACGCTATTGAAAACCTCTGTCAGATTAGAAGTGATGGTACCATATTTTTACCCGCCATCGTGGTGCAATGACCACATTTCCGGGGGGATATTCCCCAGAAATTGCCGTGCCTCCAATCTCATTTCACCTATCTTCTTGAACCCACCGTCAAACTTCTTTTTCTGATGTTGTCGTGCGGTCTAGACAAAAAGATTTTTTAGATGAATGTCTTTGAAATGAGTGTGCACATTCGATGCAAGATGGCGGATACATAGCCTATGATGCGCATCAGGCTCCTCCCAAGTACTGCACACCTCATTCATTGCCCTGACAATACCTCCATGCCAATCAGATATGACACACAACTCCCTATTAGTGACAAACTGCCTAATACATGCCATAAACCATGGCTAACTATCCCCATTCTCAGATTCAACAACTGCAAAGGCCACTGGAAATATTTGGTTGTTCGCATCACAACCCATGACCACAAGCAATATACCCTTGTACTTTCCATACAAATGTGTGTCATCAATAGTAAGTACGGGTCGACAATGCTTAAAACATGTATTGATGTCTTGAATGCCCAAAAAATTCTTTGAAACTGCATATAACCTATGCGAGTATTAGGGGGTAGGTACCACTGCATAATAGTTCCAGGATTTGAATGTTGGAGCGCTGTCTGAAACGGGGCAATTCAGAATATGACTTCTCCCAACCGCCAAATATTTCTGCTATGGTCTTTTGCTTCTCTATCCATGTTCTTCGGTATGATACCGTATACCCATACTTTTCCTTCAGCATCTCAATGATAGTATGCACTTTAAGGGAAGGATTAGTGCGAACAATGTCAATCACATCTTTAGAGATGAAATCTGAAGTCAAAGCCACGTGATCGGTAGGGTCGGTGTTGCCAACACACGTAGCAGAATGAGGTCGAGGATAACGCACAATTGTGAAGGTGTCAAGGTTGCCTTTGTTCTTTGTGGCACGTATTCTCCAGGGGCAATTACATTATTTCTTCCTTTTGCATTGTGCCACCCATTTGTGTTTATCGGGCTCTATCACCCGATAAAATTGGTTCCGTTTGATAGAATACAAGCTCACCATATTGATGACTTGTTCTTTGTTGTCAAACTGTTGACCGACCTCAAACTCACCTTCGGGGGTAAACCTTTTCTCACCTGATCCACTCATCCAGGCATCAGTAAAGCCTTCAGGGAGATCATACATTCTAGTAAAGTGGCTAGACGGGGCAGTTGTCGTGACCGTATCACCATCATTTTCATCAGATTCTGTCATGTCATCACCATTGATGTTGTCGTCAGGATCATCATCACTTCCTTGCCCATCCACAAATGATGCACCGTTGTGCAAATACCTACTATCTTCCTGTATAACCATGTCTAGTACAGGAGCATTTGAGGAGTTCCCTGCATTGACACCTACATTGACATCATGCCTAGATACAACAGCATTTGATGTTGATGGAGTACCATAAACGTATGAATTCCTCAATATATACCTCCAGCGTGGACATGTCCTCCATCTGAACTATGCCACACATATTTGTTATAGCTAGCTCATCAATGAGGGGCATAAGCATGTACTTTCCCCCGTTCATGGGAAATTTTATTTTCAAACGCAAAGAACGGCTAGGATGAATCATTGTGGCTGCATGTATTTTTTGAAGGATCTCGAGCATGCAAGCGCCACGAGAAACCATGACAAAGCTGGTTCTACCACCTTCATGGCATATTTGCCCAACATCCTCATAATAGTTCCCTCCCCAATGACACACGATTAGGAAGCTTGAGAAATCCATATTCTAATAACAATTCATTGTCTAACTTTCATGAGTAGGCATCAATATACACACTTTATACACATTCAAATTTTCAATAGAAAAAACTACCAAAATTCTAATATATCCAAAAGTCAAAATTTACAAACAATTCACATTTCAATATAAAAATACCCAAATTTTGATATGTACATTCAAGTCTACATTTTAATACCCAAATTTAGCTACATTCAAATCTACACAAATGCCCAAATGTCAAAATACACATTAAAATTTACAATCAATTTAAAATCAAATTTCAACATTTCATACATATCCACATTTCACAACTGAATTCACAATCAATTCATAATCTAAAAATTCGAAAATTTTAACATTCAAAACCCTAAGTTCAAAATGAGATGAAATGGAGTTTGATTTACCTAGAAGAAAGAAGAAAGAGTGTTGAAGATGAAGATGTAGGTTTGCCGGAGTGGGGTCGCCGGAGATGGAGGTTTGCCGGAGTTGGAAATGGCTCGGTCGTCGTTCCTTCTTGCGTCCGTCGTCGCTGCGGCTTGGGGGGATTTGGGAATTGGGTTTACACAGCGTTCTGTTTTGTGACTGGCCGATATTTTTACTTAAGGGAAAGTCGCCCAACGGTTGGACAACTTATTAGTCGCCAAACCGTTTGGTGACTTATAAGTCGCCCAACCGTTGGGCAACTTACCCCGACCATGGTTAACCCAGCAGTATATTGGGTTATGATCGTTAACCCAACAGTATATTGGGTCTACCCAAATGCCCAAATGTCAAAATACACATTAAAATTTACAATCAATTTAAAATCAAATTTCAACATTTCATACATATCCACATTTCACAACTGAATTCACAATCAATTCATAATCTAAAAATTAGAAAATTTTAACATTCAAAACCCTAAGTTCAAAATGAGATGAAATGGAGTTTGATTTACCTAGAAGAAAGAAGAAAGAGTGTTGAAGATGAAGATGTAGGTTTGCCGGAGTGGGGTCGCCGGAGATGGAGGTTTGTTGTAGCTTATGATGATTTATATATTATCTTTTAACCCAACCCTATTTTCGTAAATATTTAATTAATTAATTAATATTAATACGGAAAAAAAACTCTCAATAGACTTTGTTGTTGTAGCTTATGATGGTTGACCGATAATAAGGTAATTCTTCCCCCGTAATAGTCAAATGAGTACTATTATTTAAATGTTAAATGCTTAATTATTTGGAAAACTACATTAAATGTATTTTGAAGCACAAAACCCCAAACTGAATAAAAGCATTAAAGCCTGATACTCAAAATCATTTAACAATAAAGAATTCCGTTAAACTGTTAGACCAATGAATAGTGAAACAAGCAATGGTCATTTGGATGCAGATAGTATATGATTAGTTACATCATGTATTCCTATATAGTTATTCATCTTAACCTTATTGACAACCATCTAAATGTAGTTATTATTCTAAATATAAATAAATATCACTAATCCCCTTCCCACCCCTCTAGAACCCCTGAACCAAACAAACCCAGTAGGGGTGTTGGCCAGTTTTTAGTTTTTCATGGGGAGTTGGGGACATGTTGAATATATATCACATTAATAAAAATCAAAATAGTTTTAGAAATGAAAGCCCATTAGGGGTGGTTGCCAGTTTTTAGTTTTTATTTCAAGTAAAAACTATAAACCAGATTTCAAAAACGAAAAGGTGGATTCATTTCTTTGTTTTCAAAGTTAACATAATTAGCATAAATATGAATAGTTCCTGTTTATAATGTACTACGTATTATATATTTGTATCTTTTAGAAACACAAATTCAAAAATTGAAAACCAGAAACAACCCAGACCCCCCCCCCCCCCCCCCAACCTTAAGAATCTAAGATATCACCTGTCATCAACAAAAATACAGCTGGCTGGCTCAACGTCTAGATGTTTCAGAACATCCAAGTAAAAATCACGATCAGGCTTCCGCTTTCCTATGCACAGCAAAAGATGATAGAAAACTAAGAAAACGTGCATCATGTTTGACGTATAAGATGGAAAAAACATTGTTAAGAATCTACATTGAAATATTAGAGAGATAGATAAGATTATAAGATGTTTGCTTAAACAAGGCATTTTTTTTGGATCCGGTCCTTTTAGTGTTGTTTGACCCAGGTGCATGATGGACATTAAAGTGACCACAACCCAATCCTGAATTATATTAAAGAAAAACTATGACTAGAGCATTTTTACTAGAAATATCACTAGAGAGGGTACCCATTACACAGGAGCAGAATGTCCAAGATAAATAATTCGAAAGTTTCAACTTCTCTTCAATCATTGTGTACCTGGGAAGAAAAGAAAACAATGTGAAGAAATTCAATAACGATGAGTTTGCAAAATTAGCTAGATTTATATTGAACGCACCATATAGGATAGTTTGTGAAAGCATGGATTTCATAGCCATTTGCCTTTAACACACCAAGTAATTTCTCAACGCCTTCAATGTAAGAATATCCTCTTCTTTTACAGTTCTTGAGGCCTATGAGCAAAATCTCTTGTCACTTATTTTGCAATGAGATGGTTCTATAGACCAACATATAAGCTATTTTACGGGTACTATGTGATTTACAATCTCATTTACCTTCGAGATCAAAAGATCTCCCGTCTTTAAAAAAAATTCTTTCTAACTCAGCCTGAAAATAAAATATAAACATTATGAAGCCATGATTTGTCATGTCGTGAAAAGCAACTACTGATCGAGTACCGACTTCAGTCTTCAATGCATTGACATTTGACCAAATATAGTATGTAAACTAAGGTGGAGAATATTGTAATTTAAAAACAACAGGGAAGACAACATGTAAGCCTAATGTCAAGACTATTTGGAATATGGTTGGATCTAACTCTACCCTAAAAGAACTCTCAATAGCTGATGATTGTCCAAAGCATGAAAAAGAAATTTCCCTAAATAGAAGTAAAGACAAGGTATTTTCCCTTAATAGCAGCACAGTGTGTTCTCCTAAACAAGAGTAAGTATTGTCACCTTGAAATTAAAATGCCATGTTATGGCCCAATGCCATATTAACGCTTGATAATGTCATAATATGACAATATGATTTCAGAATGACAATAGTTTGCTCCTTTTTAAGAACAATATAATTTCAGGATTGCAGTACTTCACTTCTATTTAGGGGAAAACATAGTACTCAAATTTAGAGAAATCACTTTGTTTTTACTCCTTTTTTGGGGAATTTCATAAAAAGGTATATCCATTCATATGTAGCAAAGTAAAAACTCTTTAGAACCCTCATTGTACACGTCACAGGCAGACAAAACTGTTACAGTGAAATTTTTTCATAAGAGACCCACTCATGGATATGTGACTATGCCTCAGACTGGCTCTGCTATCAAACTAAGGACTAAAATGAGTCTAACTGTACTAAAAAAAGCTTGAAGGGTGTTTAACGCTTATTAAGCTATCATACAAATTTAATTAGGCAATGTAGAAGGCTCTTAAAAAAAGAACAATAACATGAGCTAAGTGTATTAAACAAATATGAAAATATTCCAAGATAAAGTTTTAAACCAAGAGTCCAAGATTTTACTCATAAAGCACTTCTGGGGAATAATTACAGCCTTACAGGCGACAACTTATCTATTCCTCTGGCATGTCTGCAACTAAGATGCAATTAGCAGCAAGGGAATACAACTATACAACAACAACGGCATCCAAGCTTTATTCCTAAAAGAGTTTAGGGTCGGCTAACCTGAATTGACATATGATATCGGAGTTAGCATTAAACAAATGAAGTGAAAATTCCATAACAATTTTATACACCTCACTTATCTTCCCCTTTTCAAACTCAATCCATGCAGTTGGATGCTTGCTTTCTAGCAATTCCTCCATGGTCATTCTGAATTAAAAACCGTAGATTATATATAAGCATATGAGAAATTAGAGCCCGTTTAGTAACCATTTTTCGAGTTATCTGCCTAATCAGCTAACTTTTTAACTCTTTTTTTTATTTCACTAGCTGAATTGAATAATACTCAAAGTTACTACCATTCTTTAGCTATGTTTAGTATACTTCTTTGCGAGCCTTTATTACACCCAATTTATTTTTAATAACCCCTAGGCGATCTTTTATTTTGCTTGCACTTTTGTATTTTCCAATTTCTTCGATACTTTCCTCTATTGCTAAATTTTGGGACCCAAAGCTTCGTTAGTTCTGATAGAAGTTAAAAAGGGAGAAAGTCAGGTGAAGGAGTGGAGTAAAGTACCGGAAGAAGGCGGGGACATCGTGATAAAATGGGTCGCGAACAATGGTGTCCATGACGTCAAAGAGCAACACGGGCAGCTTGCGTTTGGGGTTGGTCGCCATTGTTGAGGAAGAGGTACTGCCGTTCCTCGTGATAAAAAGAGCCGTTCTTGCAGGTGCTGAGTCTTTTGCGATGAAAGGGGGCAGGCGGCAACCGTAAAACGCCAGAGATGGGACTGGGGCTATCCGCCAAGTGGGTGACATGATGAATATAGACATGTCCTCCAGCCTCTACCCATTTGATGGGAACCACTTGTACATTCTGTTTTATAGGTAAAGAAATGTAAGATACATATTTTTCCATTTATTTTAGGAGGTAGAAGAGGTCAAATTGAGTGCATCGACTTGTATGACATGCATCAACTTGTATGAGATGGAGTAAAAACTAAAAAGTACACCATATTGCATTCGATCTATATTCGATTTTTTAGCGTTAATTGAGTACACTCATTAGATTAACACGTTAATACGGCTGAGTTTGTTAATAGAATGCTAATAGATCGACTTCCTGAGAGTCGACGCCAGCCCCAACCCCTTGATCGAAGTCAAACATCCGCAGGTCGGTCTCCCATTGGTCAATGCACCCCTGTTGGCCGACACTCCCACCCTACCCCCCGCAGGTCGACCTCTTAAGGTCAATTTTCTATTTTTGGTCAACTCCGAAGGTTGGCGCCATAACCTTGGTTCACTATCCCTTCTTACTTCGCATTCTGTTAGCCAACTCAATCATATTAACGTGTTAATCTTACGGGTGTACTCAATTAACACTAAAGATCCAAGTTTGTGTACTTAAAAAGATCAAATGCAATATAGTGTACTATTTACTTCACCTCATACAAGTTGATGTACTCAATTGACCCTTTCCTCTTTATTTCAGTGTCATTGTTATATTAGAAATGTTTGGTGTGTACATTTTTATGTATACCTTTCGTACATTCGTTTGTGTCACGCATAAAAAATTGTCTGTCCACAGACAACTCTATCTGCGTGAGACAGACGAATGTACAAAAAGTGTATAAAAAAAATGAGTACACCACGCATTCATCTTGTTATGTACACTTTGTACCCCTTCATAATATTGAGAAATGATGAGGTAACATGTTTAGTAACAAAAGTGAGTTTATGTGATTGATATTGAATTGATAAAGAGCGTGTTTGACATTTACCTATTAGCATGTTATGTTAGCGGGTTGTCTATAGTGGATTCAATCAGCGGGTTTGACTAGCACAGTAAGTTGGTGGATTGCGAGAAAATGTTTGGTAATGTAGTCAGGGGCGGGTCCAGAAAAAATTGTTGTTGGGGCATCACCTTATATGCATCAAATTATAAACATCTAGTACTCTAATATTTATAGTAATTTGTAACAAACGATAATGCTTATTGTGTACTAAAATTGAACAGATCACTTAAAAATTGAGTTCTTTTTTTATATAGTTGTGTATGACACTTTTATCGTTCTAACTGTATTTGATTAAAAACAAACCTTAATTAATGACAATTCTTACTATTATCACATGCACAACCCTCCATTATGATAAGATTGTCTCATTTTTCTTTTTTTGATATGTATCATGTACTAAAATTGTCTTATACCGAATTTGATAATGTTTTGTTTAGATCATTCTTACTTTATTGTTATTTATCTGCACTAATCAAACAAGTCACACAAATTTACTGGTTTTAATAACAACACTGCTCCTTTTCTCAAAAAAAAAACAGCACTACTATTCATGTACCAAACTAAGCGGTAGGGAGGTAGTATTTATAATTTGAAAAAGAAAAACTGAATTTGGAAAACAATGTCAAATAAAATGGGAATTTTTCCTTATCAGTACGTATGAAATGCCATGAGTGTTTTTTGAAATAATTTTAAAGATTATGTTATGTTTTTAAAGGTACTAATCGCTTATGGTATATCTATCTATCTATTTATAGATAATACAATTCAAGGTTACAATCAGGGAAAGTTTGCCATGTGTCATCTTCTAAGCAAATTTAGCATACTAATTATATATACTTCGTTTACATTAATTTTACGTAATTTTAGTTATATTAGAACTAATGTCACGTTAATATTAAGCTATTGGAATCCTACCTAATTATAATTTTCTAAAGGTATGTAATTCAAAAAATAAATAAAATCCCATATTTATTTTAATGTGATATAATTTTTTTATTTGTAGTCCGATTGTTACAAAAAATATATCATAATTCATAACTTTTCATTATCTTTCATATGACACCAATATTGCATATATAAAAAAATCTATTAAGTTTTGGCAATTTAGATCGTTTTTTACGGGACGCACAATTAATGAGGACTGATACTTTCAAATAAAACCGCACAAACTCCATTACTTTTATTTATTGTTTTATTCTTTGCGGTAGAATATGCGCAGTTTTATTCTAAGCTATCACTCCGATTAATGGTGTGCGACTGTGCATGGTAAAAAACGATCATAAACTCCACAAATTAATAGGTTTTATTTTTATAAGCAACATTGGTGTTATATGAAAAGTAATAAAATTTCAGGAATTCTGATATATTGTTTGTAATAATCGTAGTATAAATAAAAAAAATTATACTCCGTAGCACTTAAAAAACTGAAGCTTTAAAGTGTTAAATTATATTTTTTTTATATATTCAATATTAGTGACATATAAAAGATAACAAAAAGTTATTAATTTTGATATACTTTTTGTAACAATTGTATTAAAAATAAACAAGTTATAGCATATTAAAATAAATATGAGATTTTATTTTGCTGGGCCCCCGATGAATTCTAATTGAACACGATAAAATTTCCTTAATTTATAATTGTATCTTTAAATTTTTAAAAATAATGGTTTGAGTAATTTTGTGTAATACATATACGGTGTGATATATTATAAGTGATAAAAGCTACTCTTTTCGAGCTGAGGAAGTGGTCCAGCCTAGCTGGTCCTAGACTCACTCTCCCTTATGGGAGGTCCCGAGTTCAATTTTCAGTGGAATGAGATTGATCTCAGTTTACCTCAGGCTCTTCAAACCCCCTCCCCCCAACGCCCCCTCAGATTGTTGAGCTAAAATAGAATTGCTTAGCCTATGGTATTCATTTTCCAATTATAAAACTGCACCCATATAAATTTAATAATATCACAGTACTTAAAAACTCAGGGCCTGTTTACTAACAGAGATATTTTCTTGTTTTCTACTTCTGTTTTTCGTTCTCCAATTTTCTGTTTTTATTTTTCAGTTTTTTCTATCTCCAATTTTCTGTTTCTATTTTTTAGTTTTCCATTTTCAAATTTGAAAACATGTTCATCAATTTTTTCACACAGTTCTCCAATTCCACACCCTTGACCCCTACCCTCTACACTTACCACGATCTTACACTCTACTCATACTCCACCACAATCCTTCATACCCACCCATACCTACTCGTAGGGGTCGGGTAGGGAAGTTATGGAAGGGGGTAGGGTAAGGGGTATGGTCGGGGTGGGCTGGTAAGGTCTAGGGGTAGGGGGTTGGGTGGGGGTAGTGGGTGGGTTAGGGTCGTGGTTAGGGTTAAGGGTGGGGTAGTGGGTAGGGTTGGGGTAAGGTAGGGGTAGGGTAGGGAGTTGGGATATGATGGCAGTAGGGTGGGGCCGGGGTAGGGAAGGGGTAGGATGGCGGTAAGGGTGGGGGTAGTGGGTGGGGTTTGGGGTTGGGGTAAGGTAGGGGTAGGGTAGGGAGTTGGGATAGGATGGCGGTAGGGTGGGGTCGGGACCAGGGTGGGGCTGGGGTAGGGAAGGGGTAGGATGGCGGTAAGGGTGGGGGTAGGGTTTGGGGTTGGGGTAAGGTAGGGGTAGGGTAGGGAGTTGGGATAGGATGGCGGTAGGGTGGGCCCGGGATCCGGGTGGGGGTAGGATGGTGGTACGGGGGTGGGGGTAGGATGGCGGTGGGGTGGGGCCAAGGTAGGAGGCATGTGGTAAGGGGTAAGGTAGGGGTAAGTGGTAATATACGAGGGGTGGGGGTAGGGTATGGTGGGTCGGGGTGGGGTCGAGGTGGTAGGGGGGTGGCGGTAGGGTAGGGTGGATCGAGGTGGGGTCGAGGTGGTAGGGGGTGGCGGTAGGGTAGGGTGGGTCGGGGTGGGGCCGAGGTCGGGGCATGTGGTGGGGGGTGGGGTAAGGTCATTATAGGGAAAAATGGGTACGCGGGGTGGGGGTTGGGTGGGTAGGGTAGGGGTAAGGGGTAAGGTACGAGGATGGAGGTACCAGAATGGAATCGACATCGGAGCGGGACCAGACCCACCACTAGGTGTAAGTATGCAAATTCATTGCAAAGGCACTGTAGCATCTGCGTTTTCCAAATTTGGAAAACTAGTAAGAGTCATTTCTCCAAATCATTAAGGAAAAGAGAGACATGTTTCATTTTTTCCGTTTTGGAAAACGATTTGGTAAACGCGTTTTTCTTTTTTCCTTTCTCCAGTTTTCCAGGAATTTCTTTGGTAAACACGTTTCCTGTTTTTTGTTTTCCAGTTTTCCAGTTTTCTGGAAAACTGGAAAATATTTCTGTTAGTAAACAGGCCCTCAAATTTTCATATATTATTATATGGATCATACCATATATAAGTCTATAACAGAGAATACAAGCTTACACGTATAACTTTTCCAGTAACATATCTATTACTCCCTCCGTCCCTTAACTTTGTCATCTTTCCTTTTTGGGACATCCCAAAAAACTTTGTCAGTTTCATTTTTAATCAATTATTTTGTGGTTCCCGTTATTTCTCTCTCCTCTGCACAAACCTCAACCATACAGTTTTTACTTTATTATTCTCCGTGCCGGTCAACTTTGACAAAGTTTTAAGGGACAGAGGTAGTATATTTATATTCTTCATATCATACTCAATTATCTTAATTACAAATATTACTGACCTCCAAACCTGAAATACTCGGACATGTATTGTAACACAAATCTTTGATGTTTTCTTAGCATGAATCCAAGTATCTACTTTTTCAAAAGGCAACGTGCACACGTTGTAGAATTATATATCGAAAAATATCGCATCCTAATAGATCTTAGTGTCTTTTGAAGATATAATTGATGTATGACAAAACAATAATATTATCACCCAAACTAATGCATCTAAAGTAACTCTTTCATTTACGTATTCTTGACATGAAAATCAGAAATCTAAAAGTCTTATACGAGACAAAATTCAAAACTCACAACACCAAGAGTCGATTACAACCACATCGAAAATATCCATT